CTAACAGAACAAATAGCAATGCTGGGAATTATTCTGCAAAATTGAACACTTTGATTCATCTGTCATAGGAGCACCTATCAAATAGGAAACAAATTTAGGAGCTGACATATCCCTATTCTCTTAAAATAGCTGACCGCTCTGCAGCCAGGGCACTGAAGGAATGGCTGGCACTGTCCCCCACTGTCTGAGCCCCTGGCATGCAGCAGAACCCCAAGGCCTGTTAGTCCCCAGTCCTGGGCCCTACCCCTGAGTTTCTGGGCAGCAAGTCTGGGGAGGGGCCTGTGACTACACGATCCTGCTCTGGGAGCACATCCAGCACCACCTGCCCAGACAGCACCTATGGGCACCAGCAAGAGGTATGAGGGAGGAGCAGGGAAGAGCCCACACACCAGGGCCTGGGGCAGACATGGTGCCTCTGAACCCCTCGTGTAGGACAAGCAGGCTGTGCAGTGAGTCAGAACAGACAGCAGCTACAATCACTGCACCACCCTCACAAAGGGCACGGATGTGGGGACACTCATTGTGTGTCTAGCACTTCAGGAAATTTTCTATTTATCTCCTTACACGAATCCTGAAAGACAGGTTCGTCTCCATTTTCAGATGTGAAAAGTGCAGGGAAGTAAAGCAGCCCGGCCTCAGTCATGCCGGCCACTGCCCGCAGAGGTTGTGACTGGATCATGAGTTCCTTCCACTCCGGAGGGACCAGCAGCCCCTTACAGCAGACACCTGCCTCATTTAGGGCTTTCTGCTCCTGGAAGTACTTTGCTTATGCTCTACTATATGGGCTATTAGTTCTCCTGGGATGTGCTACATAGAAATTGTTAAATAAGTTTAGCTGAAAAAAATCCACAGGCCTTATACAGCATCCTGAATTACCCATGAAAGACTGGCATATCCTTTGGTGATTTTATAAAGAAAATCCATAGTTGATCTATTGTTGACATTGTCCGTATCCATCAGCATTACTTAAATACCATTTTAGACTTGTAAATTTGTGAGATAATGACTTAGAAAAGGTTGGATCCACTAAGCTATGCTCACTTTCATAATGCCTTAGAAACTTTCAGATTTTTTAAATAACAAAAACCTCAAAATTTATAGTGCTTATTTTTCCTTTTAAGTACGATTTGTGCATCAACTGCCCACACTGATTGCACTAAATTAATCATGAACTGATTTCACCACATCCTTGTTAAGGTGCTTTCACAATCTAGAATCGTGTGTAACTTCACATAATTCTAGGCTAGTAAAGATATTAATTTTGAATACTATAATGAATAGTTTTAAAATTCCAACAATCTATTCACTAAATCCTTAATCTGACACATCACATCAGCTGAATGACACAGGCCAACACTGAGGTGAGCCTGAGATGGTTGTTTGTTACAGACATTGAGAGGGAAAAGTGGTGAGAAAACGGGGAGATGGAGGCAGAAGGACAGAAGCAGCCAGCGGGAGTGCTGAGCCGTCAAGAGCTGACGCACAGCAGGAGGGCACAGCTCAGGACTCCTGCTCAGTGAGCGGGCACAGCCGCTCCTGCCTTGGCTGGAGGGAGATGGGAGACTACTGGGATGGCAACTGTGTCACTCTGTCCCACTACACACCGTCTCAGCACACAGGTACGCATTTGTCTCATAACATGCCACACATCTTAAATGCACACCAATGTGGCACCACAGCTCCCTGGCTCTTCCCTGGGCGCTGAGCCTGCAGGGTGACAGTTTCTGCGGCCACATGGGCACAGTCTGAGACGAGAGCCCAGGCCCTGCCCTGGGACCTCACAGAAGAGGCTCGTACTTTGTGACTCGATTCTCCATCTAAGCTGGCAGTTGTAACGTGGCATGTCCCGTCTTCCCGGCTGCTGGACAGGAAGATCAGATCACAGGGAAAGGTCTCATTCTCCTTCACCATGACGATGTCCCCAACCTGCAGGACACATAGAAAGAGGAAGTGCTGAAATCCCACCTGGGAGAGACTCATGCCCGGCATGCCAGGAGCCTCTTCTCAGGGTGGTCACTCATATCAGGACTCAAGAAAGAGGCCTTTTCCACACATCTGCTGGCGCCAAGGGGAGACCAGGCGGGGTTTCCACACACACAGCAGATCAGAGGAGCGGCTGGGTGCACTGTGGCTGAGGCTGTGCAGTGACAGCGGGAACAGACATCCTGACAAGATTACGCTTGATTCAGACCAAGCAGGACAGGTGCACTGAAGCGTTTTGTTAAAGTGGCCAATTCCGGCCAGAAGCCTTTGCTCTAAGTCTGGGTGTTTCATAACTAGCACACTTGAGTTCCAAGGGCTTCCTGGTCAGCAGAACCAGGATACTGTCCAGGTGACCAAAGCAGGACAGCAAATAAAGCAAAAGTGGCACTAAAGTAAAGTGAAACAGGGATGTTCATCACATTGATTTTAAATTAAACGTAACCATCTGCATCTAATTTATTTCATCACCAAGGAAGCCTCTCAGTGAGTGGACTGTGCCTGGAAGGTGTGTGGCCACCAAACCCCACAAGTGCAAGTCCCCCTGGCTGCTTGGACAGTTTGAGACTGCTGGAGGCACCTCTGGGATCGGAGTGTCACTGTGCCCTGTCTACACTGCAGGCTCCTCTGTCACATGACACGATGGTCACAGCACACAGTGAGTTTCTGAGACTAAACCAGAGGTTAGTGTCTAGACCTACAGGTCTAATGAAATTCCAGAAAGAGCTCCACAAATGTGTGCTTAGCTGACCTTGGACAGAGATGTGAAAGCAATTCAGGTGCAAAACCACAGAGGGGCAGCCTTGCTGGCAAATAGTGCTGGACAACTAGACACCCATGGAGGGTTGAAGGTTAAAAAGCAAACCCCCAAACCAGACAAACAAACAAACCCACCTGACGTGAACCTCACGCCTCACGTAAAAAACGAATTCAAAGCAATTCTGAACTTACGCGTGACATGAAACTGTAAAATTTCAGAGAAAACACAGCAGAGGCTCTCTGGCCTCCAGGGTGAGGCAGGGCACTCACTGCTCATTCCCCAAAAGGAAAGATCAAGAAATTAGACTTCATCAAAATTAAAAGCTTTTGCCTTTATAAAATGTTCCACTAAGAGCATTACAAATCTCATACTTGACAAAGTTCTAGCATCCAGAATATATAAACTCTCAAAACTCCATAGCAAGCAGAACGTCCAACGAGCCAACGGAAAACGGGGGAAATATGTGCAGACCTGTCACCAGGCAGCTGCACAGCCGCAGACAGGCACCCAGAGGGGTGTCTGGTGCCCAAGGTGTCAGAGCTGCTAGTGTGATAAGCGATGACACCCAGCTCTGAAGATGCGGGGACTTGTGAGGCTGACGTGGCTGGGGGAACAGAGGTGGCTCTGCAGCTCCTTTAAAACTGCAAATGGAGCTATCAGCCATCCAGCAAGCAAACTCTTGAGCTTTTACACTAAAGAAGTGAAAACTGTATTAATACAGTATCCTGAACACAAATGTTCACAGTGGCTTTACTGGTAAAGAGTCCCAAACTGGATATACCTGAATGTCCTTCAACGTGGGGACAACTAACATGGCACACCCACACCATGGACTACTCCTCAGAAACAAAAGAATGCAGCTGTTGGTCCACAAGTTAGGTAGACCCCAGCGCGTTAGGCTGAGCAGAAACAGCCGGCCCAAAAGGTTAGACTGTGTGATTCCCTTTATAATTTCAAAATGCCCAGATCTTAGAGACAGATCAGGGTGAATCATATACAGGGCATTTCTGTGCCATTTCTTACAACAGCACATGACTCTATAATTATCTCAAAATAAAAAGTTTAATTGAAAAAGAAAAACAAATTTACAGGTCATTTTTTTGATGGCCCTAGCACCTCTAGGGTATTAGTCATTACTGCCAAGAAAAGCTGGATGCTGGACGCAGAAAAGGCCTGGTCTCCTTTCTTGTGCAGTGTAGTTGGGCTGGAATTCTCCAGTTACTACACCGTACAAGGTAGGGAAGGCACTTCCCACAGGAGACAAGGCGTGATGAGTTCAACCATATGGGAGGAGACACCATTTCAGTCTGCTTTTTAAGAAAGATATGTTTGCCTGCAAGTATGGGAGACTCTGCAAAGGGAAGCAAAACCGCTGAAGGAGACTGCTCAGAGGGTCGGAGCTGAGACTGGGCTGAGGTGGACGGAGCCCCCACTGTCCCCATGGCCCGTCTCTACCACCTCTATGACTTCTGGGGAGGCTCTACCAATCTGAGCTACCTGAGGAAGCTTATTCAGAACTATGAAAACATTGGACAGCAAAACTCATAAACCAAAAGTATTGTTTAAAACTTAAAAATGCACCCAGGAGTGTGTAAGACATTACTACCGGGAACAAAGTGAGACAGCTTTCTGAAGGGCTGCCATGATCCATGTGCCCTGGGGCTCCTGGCTACTGAGGGGGGTGGGGGGCTGATACTCCTGCTTCCAGGCTGACCAGATTGCAGGCTGCTGTTCCCTCCTTTGGCTTCAGGAAAGCACTGGGGGCCAGGCTGGGCTGGAGGGGCAGGGAGGGGGCAGGAAAGTGTGAACCACCTGGGCTGGTGCTGAGTTCATGGGCAGATTGGGGGCTAAAGCCCACTACTGCCTGTTACTCTGGGGCAACCCGGGGCAGCCACATCACTGTACAATAACTGTCACATTCCCACCACAAAGACAAGACAGACGCTTGAGGAGATGGGTATCCCAGTTACCCTAACTTGATTATCATACTCAGTTTATAGGTATCAAAATATGTACCACTATTACATATCAATAACAAGTAAAAACTTTTACGACGTGAACCAAACCTCACGTAGGTTTTGTTCCAATTTTCATGAATTTCTACATAGTGAAATTTATACTGATAGGACTTTATCTCATTTTAAAACAAAATGTTTAAGTGTTTAGGCCTTTCCCTGTCTTGCTGGTTGGTATGGTCTCATAATAGTTTTAAATTCAGAAGATCCTGGTGTGGGATGTTAGAGGGTGGAGCTGGGGGCGAGTAGAGTCCCCGGAACATGGGAATGCTCTGTACTGTCCACATGGTCTTTCTGTGAACCTAACACTATTCTGAGAAAATAAAGTCAATTGAAAAACCAACCAACCAAATAAATAAATAAATATTACAAGTTTTTTTCAAAAACTGGAAGCGGTAGTAACAGTAGCTTGTGAGCAGTGAGAGCCTGTCGAGGAGGGGCACATTCAACAGAATAATCTTCAAACTGTTTTGCCACAGAAAATGAAACTTATAATTTTTTAACTTAAATATGTTCTTAGAGCCAAGGTTTCTCTATATTGCTCAGGCTGGAGCACAGTGGCTACTCAAAGGCACGACCATACGGGGCCCCAGCCCCTCGGCAGCTGGGACCACAGTCAACACCCAATCTGGCTAAAACTTAGTTTTTAAAAAATTGTACTGGTTTTAAACCAGGTAAACGGATCAGTTATTACTTACTCTTAGCTTTCGACTCTGCTTCCGAACAAGCTTGCCATGCTGAATAAAATGAACAGGGCACTGGTTCATGGCGTTGTCTGCTTTATGGCGAAGCCAGTCCTCATAACCCTGAAAAAGCAAAGGAAAAGAAGGATGTGTGGAAGGACAAATGGACAGAAGGACGGAAGGATGGAAGGACGAAGGATGGATAGAAGGATGGAAAGATGGAAGAACGGATGGAAGGACGAATGGATAGAAGGATGGAAGGATGAAGGATGGATAGAAGGATGGAAAGACAGAAGGACAGATGGAAAGACAGATGGACAGAAGGACAAAAGGATTGAAGGAAGGATGGAGAGAAGGACGGAAAGACAGAAGGATAGAAGGACGAATGGATAGAAGGATGGAAGGATGGAAGGACAAAGGATGGATAGAAGGATGGAAAGACGGAAGGATGGATGGAAGGAAAGATGGACAGGACAGAAGGATAGAAGGAAGGATGGAAGGATGGATAGAAGGACAGATGGACAGGATGGAAGGATGGAAGGAAGGATGGAGAGAAGGATGGAAAGACGGAAGGATGGATGAAAGGACAGATGGACAGAAGGACGGAAGGATGGAAGGACGGAAGGATGGATGGAAGGACAGATGGACAGAAGGATGGAAGGATGGAGAGAAGGATGGAAGGATGGATGGAAGGACAGATGGACAGAAGGATGGAAGGAAGGATGGATGGAAGGACAGATGGACAGAAGGATGGAAGGATGGAAGGAAGGATGGAGAGAAGGATGGAAAGACAGAAGGACAGAAGTATGGAAGGATGGGAGAATGGAAGGAAGAATGGAGAGAAGGATAGAAAGACAGAAGGATGGATGGAAGGACGGATGGAAGGATGCCAACCATAAGACCCTTGGAAGTCATCAAAAAATACAGTAATGTCTCAGGATATACTCAATGTCCACAAAGCCCTACATTCAAAGTACCTCAACAGCAAATGTTCCGTGGACCAGCTGGAGTTTAACGGTCTTTGTATACGCCAACAACAAAATGAGAGGCTAATTAAGGATACAACTCCCCTCACCGTAGCCCCAAAGAAAATGAAATACTTAGGAATACACCTAACAAAAGAGGTGAAGGACCTCTATAAAGAAAATTATGAAACCCTAAGAAAAGAAATAGCAGAGAACTTTAACAAATGGAAGAACATACCATACTCATGGCTGGGAAGAAGCAACATTGTTAAAATGTCTATACTTCCCAGAGCAATCTACCGATTCAACACCATCTCTATTAAGACTTGGAAAAAATGATTCTGCGTTTTGTATGGAACCAGAAAAAAACCCGTGTAGTTAAGGCAGTTCTTAGTAATAGAAACAAAGCTGGGGGCATCACCATACTAGATTTTAGGCTGTACTACAAAGCCATAGTGGTCAAGACAGCATGGTACTGGCACAAAAACTGAGACATAGACATTTGAAATCAAATGGAAAACCAGGAAATGAAACCAACAACTTACAACCACCTAATTGTCAATAAACCAAACAAGAATGTACACTGGGGGAAAGACTCCCTATTCAATAAATGGTGCTGGGAGAACTGGATATCCACATGTAAAAGACTGAAGCTGGACCCGCACCTTTCTCCACTCACAAAAATTGATTCAAGATGGATAAAGTACTTAAATTTAAGGCATGAAACAATAAAAATCCTCAAAGAAAGCATAGGGAAAACACTGGAAGATATCGGCCTGGGGAAAGACTTTATGAAGAAGGCTGTTGGCTGTGGCAATTGCAACAACAAAAATAAACAAATGGGATTTAATTAAACTGAAAAGCTAAGGAGACAAAAACCGAAAGTAAATAGACAACCTACACAATGGAAAGGATATTTGCGTATTTTGAATCAGACAAAAGCTTAATAACTAGGATCTATAGACAAATTAATTCACATGAAAAAAACCCAACAATCCCATACATCATTAGGGAAGATAGATAAACAGAACCTTCTCTAAAGAAGACAGACGAGGCTCGGCGCCTGTGGCTCAAGCGGCTAAGGCGCCAGCCACATACACCTAAGGTGGCGGG